CAGTAGCTCAGGAGGCTGAGACAGGAAGATCCTGAGTTCAAAGCCAACCTCAGCAAAAGCCAGGCACTAAGCAACTCAGTGAGACCCTGTCTCCAAATAACATACAAAATAGGGCTGGGAACATGGCTCAGTGGTCAAGTGCCTCTGAGTTCAATCTCCAGTACCGGCCCCCCAAAAAAAAAATTCTTCAAGATCCCAAGAAAGCACATGTCTTAGATTACTGAACGCTTTACATATATATCCCCCTTCAGGCAGTGTACACTAGTCTGCCCTTTCAGCTATGGCTTACCACTTCTCTGACCTCCAGACAGGAGAAGAAAAATGTGAGGACTAAGATGCTGGATTTTAATTTTATATTCAAGTGTTTGAATTTGATATAAATATCAGAAAGTATTGTAAGAAGTCTTCTTGGGCTGGGGATGTGGCTCAAGCGGTAGCACGTGCGGCCCGGGTTCAATCCTCAGCACCACATACAAAGATGTTGTGTCCACCGATAACTAAAACATAAATATTAAAAAATTCTCTCTAGGGCTGGGGGTGTGGCTCAAGCGGTAGCGCGCTCGCTTGACCTGCGCGAGGCGCTGGGTTCGATCCTCAGCACCACATACAAATAAAATAAAGATGTTGTGTCCACCGAAAACTAAAAAATAAATAAATATTTTTTTAAAAAAAATTCTCTCTAAAAAAAAAAAGAAGTCTTCTTCCCATGCTCTCCTCTACCTGCCTAATTCCTATACTTAACAGGCAACCAATGTCACCATTTTCTTGTGTATTCTTCTAAATTGTTTTTCCTTTTTTCTTTTTTTCAGTCTGAGGATCAGATGCAGGGCTTTGCACATGACAGGCAAATGCTCCTCCACCAAGCTTCATCCCAGGCTTTTTTTTTTTACTTCATTTTGGGACAGGGACTCATTAACTTGCCCCATCTGACCTCAAGTTTACAATCCTCCTACCTCAACCTCTGAATATCTGAGGTTGTACCACTGTACCTGGCTCCTCTAGAGTTTTTTTTAATGCATGTATAAACCAAACAAATTTTTTTTTCTTTTTATCTTCTTTTTATTCCTTCCTTCCAGCCTGCCTTCCTTTCTTCTTTGTGCTGGAAATGGAAACACTGATATTGCTTAGTCATGCCTGGCAATATTCAGGTTTTAAAAAGATACAGATCTCTGATATAGAGAAAAAAGAATAAATAAGAATTTCCATAGGAAATTCTAACTAACAAGAGTGCCTTAAATTGAGGAGTTTTGTTTGGAGTTATTTTTTCTTTGGTACCTTGATTTTTGAGATGGATAAGTACAAGCACTTTTTTTTTAATATTTATTTTTTAGTTTTAGGTGGACACAATATATTTATTTTATTTTTTTTTTTAATCTGGTGCTGGGAATCAAACCCAGTGCCTTAGGCATGCTAGGCAAGGGCACTACCATTTGAGCCACATGCCCAGCCCCACAAGCACTATTTTCTATAAGCATGGCAACAAGCACATACTCAAGTCTCACATTTAACGCCTGGCAGAACTACAGAGTTAATTCTAAAACACTTAGAAGCAACGCATATGAAGTACAGAAAATGAATATTTTAGCTTCAAAATACACATTTTAACTAACATATAATTTCTTTTTACTTAAAAAATAAGTAGCTCCAATTTGGAAATACATCCCAGAAATATTTTAATGATATTAACAATAGAGGGCTGGGGATATAACTTAGGACTGGGGATATAGTTCAGTTGGTAGAGTGCTTGCCTCACGTGCACAAGGCCCTGGTTTGAATCCACATACACACACACAAAAAAAATTAGTTTATATTTTGGGGCTGGGGTTGTGTCTCAGCGGTAGAGCGCTCGCCTTGCACGTGCGAGACCCTGTGTTCAATTCTCAGCATCATATAAGAATAAATAAGTGAAATAAAGGTATTGTTTCCAACTACAACTGAAAAAATAAATATTTTTTTAAAAAACGAAAAAAAAGAAAGAAGTTCCCTCTCCAGCTACCAACTCAGAGTTCAGTCCAGCACACCAGGTACCTGGTAGCCCTTAAGAACTACCTGAGACAACTGATGATGGCTCCAGGCCACACACGAAGGACTGTAATTTGTTCCTCTCCTCCCCAAAAATGATGCTTTTTTTCTGCCCAGATCAAATACTACAATTTTTTTTTAACTTTTTTTAGTTATACATGGACACGATATCTTTATTTTTTATTTTTTTTTTAAATCTTTTTTTTTTTTTTAAGAGAGAGTGAGTGAGGGAGAGAGAGAGAGAGAATTTTAATATTTATTTTTTGGTTTTCGGCGGACACAACATCTTCATTTGTATGTGGTGCTGAGGATCGAACCCGGGCCGCACGCATGCCAGGCGAGCGCGCTACCGCTTGAGCCACATCCCCAGCCCCTCTTTATTTTTTATTTATTTTTAGGTGTTGCTGAGAATCAAACCGAGTATCTCACATGTGCAATGCATGCACTTAACCACTGAGCCACAACCCCAGCCCCAAACACTACAATTTATGAATTTTTTAAAGTAATAAAAATCACGAGGAAAATGTTAGCAAATAAAAAATTTGTTTGAACTTTGTTTGAAGATATTTTCCACTGATCAAAGAATTAAAGGGAACATAAAATTAAGACAGCCACATCCCTGCATCCTCAAGTAGTTAACAGGTAGTAACTCTGTATGGAACACTGACATTCATTCTGTATTTCTGCCATGCTAAAGACCTTTTGTGGCTGGGGTTGTGGCTCAGCGGTAGAGCGCTTGCCTAGTGCATGCGGGGCCCTGGGTTCGATCCTCAGCCCACATATAAATAAAATAAAAGTTTTGTGGCCAACTACAACTAAAAAAAAAAGACCTTTTTGTACACTTCAGAGGTTACTATATTGTAACACCCCAAGTTCAAAGATTTAGAGGTAAAACCCTGAAACATGATAGATGTGTTAAAAAGCAGGCCTCCCTGAATCTAATACCTTAATTAAAACCAAGGAACTATAACATAAAATCCAATATACTGATCCCAATCTTCTTGACTGTTTTCTAGGAGCATCGAGGCATTGTTAAGAAGTGCAAACAATGGGACTGGGGATCTGGCTCAGTGGTAGAGTGCTCACCTAGCATGCACTAGGCACTGGGTTCAATCCTCAGCATCACATAAATGTAAAATAAAGATATTGTGTCCACCTAAAACTTAAGAATAAATATTTTTTTTAAAAAAAGTGCAAACAACAACTTTGGGAGGCTGAGGCAGGAGGATCCATAAGTTCAATGCCAGCCTCACCACGACCTTCAGCAACTTAATGAGACCCTACTTCAAAATAAAAAAATATATAAAATAAGGACTGGAGTGTAGCTCAGTGGTAAAGCACCCCTGGGTTTAACTTCTACTACAATAAAAGAAGAAGAAGCGAGGAGGAGGAGGAGGAAACAAGGGCTGAAGCATAGCTCAGTGACAGAGCTTTTACCTAGCATTCATGAAGCTCTGGGTTTGATCCCAGGCACTGCCAAAAAAAAAAAAAAAAAATGTAGAAATGCTCCATACAAGGTCATCTGATTCCTAGGGAGTCAGAATTCCTACAGTCAAGAATTCCTGGTTAACCCCCATGCAAACCCCTCCAATTCTACAGGGAAAAATGCTGGAAAAATTATGATACTTTAGCTTCTTTTATACTAATACAAACAGTCATTAAACAACAATAGCAGCTAAACCATAAATGAGGATGAAAACTCCCATCTACATTACCTAAAGATTTCCCACAAGTCTAAATATTTAGTTAAATTTTTTCCCCCTATGTTGCTAGGGATCGAACCCAGAGCCTTATGCATGCAAGGCAAGCACTCTACCAACTGAGCCATATCCCCAGCCCCAAGTTCAAATATTTAGGTTAAACAGATTGCATTATTCTGACTTATCCACCATTCCATTTATCTGGAATTAAACAGATCAGATTACCACAAAACAATCTTTTCTAAACTAGTATCGAACTCCAAAGGAAGATCAAGTTGGTAAAGAGCTTCCATCATTTTCTCTGTCCTTCCTCCCACTTCTTCCCTATATATGTCATAAACTATGTCCTCTACTTAGTTCTAATGGAGAGTTCTTTGGCCATCTGTATATAAGAGATCAGAAGGTGTCCTAAGAGTCTGGAGAACCACCACATCAACAGGAGCTTTTTCATCTAAAGGTCACCTGTCCACAATGCCCAAATGAGGTTTAACCCTATAAGGTGAAATTTGGCACAAGTGCCACCTGTTGAAGAAAAAAAACAAAAAAAGCCAGGCATGGTGGCATACGCCTGTAATCCACCAGTGGCTCGGGAGGATGAAGCAGAAGGATTGCAAATCAAGGCCAGACTCAGCAATTTAGCAAGATGCTCAGTAAATTACCAAGACCCTGTCTCAAAATAAAAAATAAAAAGGGTTGGGAATGTAGCTCTGTGTAAAGCACCCTTAGGTTCAATCCCCAGTACCAAAAAATAAATGTAAAAATCTCACACACCTATGGAGCAACAGGAGGACTCTCCAAAGAGTTGTACATATAAACCAGCAGGCCTTAGAGTGTTCTAATATACTACATGAAGTTTCAGAGTAAACAAATGGTTAATGACACATCTTTTGTAACACATGAATCAGCTACTGATTTGCAAGAGTGGGACACACCCTAGTACCTATGACTCTAAAGTACCTGTTTGAAAGTGGACCTGGAAGTCTGAATGCCAATCCATGCTACCAGGATTGGAACAGAATTCTACAATTACGCAGGTTGTTATAATTTAAAGTTAAAAAGATAAACACATCATTATAATAAATGTTGATTTGAGAACTGCACTAATATTTTACACCAATAATCAAGAATAATAACAATTTACAAATCCTAGGAAACTAATACTAAGGTTTTGACCGGAAAGGGTAAGGGGACTGAAGAGTACAAATTTAAGAATCGGAATTTCTCAATTTTAAAAAAGTCAATAAAATAAACTTGGTAACGAAAAACAACACATCTTACCTTAAGAGGCATCCAAATAGCATTCATAGTGTCAGGAATAGTTCAGACAATACTCAGAAATGAACGAGAAGAGTCTTAGTAATTCCCTTAGTCACCAGATAGGAGCAAGTAGGAAAATTGTTTCAAGAAGGTTTCTGAAAGAAAGGATTTTCATTTAGACAAAAAAATAAAATACACGAATTGATTTCAGCTATCTGGGAAAAACCTTGGAAGTTCTAACTTTTTTCATTAACCGGAAAAGGTGATGGTAGAGTGGTAGAGTGCTTGCCTAACACTTGAGGCACTGGGTTTGATCCTCAGCAGCACATAAAAATAAATAAAGTAAAGGTAGTGTGTCTATCTACAACTAAAAAGTAAAAAAAAAAAGGTATGCAAGATAAAATTCCCTTTGGAAAAGGCAAATGTGTGGGTGGATGTGTGTGAGAAAAACACTTTACATAAACAAGAAATAAATATGTAACACATATTATAGAATATAAAACTGCTTATCAAAGAATTAGAAAACTAAAATCCCAGACAGAAAACATGATTATCCACAGTATTTCATAATTATCAAAAAGTGACTTGTTAATTGACCACCTAAAAAAGATCCTTGCCACATTTAATTGTATTCAGTAAATTAAAAACCTCTGATGATTCCAACTGTCCTAAATTTTTTTTTTTTTTTTTTAATATTTATTTATTTTTTTACTTTTCGGCGGCCACAACATCTTTGTTTGTATGTGGTGCTGAGGATCGAACCCGGGCCGCACGCATTGCCAGGCGAGCGCGCTACCACTTGAGCCACATCCCCAGCCCCAATTTTCTTGAACTTAAGTTTCTGCATCGGTTTATGTGAAAAATAAGACCTGTTCTTCACCCAAGTAGTACAAGAAAATAAAAGACCCTTCTTTCCTAGATATCTTTAAAAGCAGACCAAACAATTTAACTAAATGACCTCCTACAGGATCCTTGTTCAAGTCCTAGGCCTGAATGAAATTCCAGCTTAACCAGTTACTGCTTCGCTTAAAATGGAGGATTGCCCCGAGTAGGGACAAATATAAAGCACTCACCTCTTAAAACATAAATTCTGAAAAGAAAAAAAAAAAATTGAAAGAGTAAAGTACCTTCACTTAAAAAAAAATGTAAATATTGAAAACCTCCAGAGTGGATTTGTTCTTGCTAAGCGTTTGTCACTTCGGCTTCGAACACTTGTCCATCACTTTCCTTACCGCTCATCGGATTGGGGGGAGGGGGCGGGAGGAGTTTTGACTCTTGACCCAATCTTAGGAGGGTTTAAGAGCCCCCCCGCCAAGATTCCCACCTCCAAAGACAGCGAGAGAAGAGAAAGGGGAGAGCCCGGGTTCTCACCCCTCCCCCCGCCTTGGACCCTAGTCCCAAACCTCCGCCCCCCCGCCCGCCAGCCTTCCCGCAGTGGGGCGACTCCTCCTGCCCCATTCCCATTGTTAGGGAGGGGGCTGGTGGGGCAGTGTGCTCGGGGTAGAGGCGCCGGTGGCCGTTGCCCCGGCTCTCTTCAGGAGGGGGCGGCCCGCGGGATGCAGCTTCCCTTCCTCTCCGCGTCGGTCCGTCCCACCTCGGCTCGGCCTGGCGTCCCAGGCTCCGCTCTGCACCCCCGGCCCGGCCCGCCCCCCCAGGCGGCCAGCCCCCGGCCGCTTGGTGGGCAGCCTGTGGCCCAGGCCTACGGGTGGGCGCGGGGCTGGAGTCCCTCAGCCCCGCACACGCGTACCCGCTCCCCCAGCCCAGCCGCTTCCAGGGCCCTCCGCGGCGCCCGCTCCCCGGGCCGCTCGGCCCCCCGCCTCCCGGCCGCGCCGCCCCCTCGGGCTCCCCGTAGGGGGCCGCCTCCCCTTCCCCACCATCACCTCTACCCACTCGTGCCCCCACCCCCCGGGGCACCAGTGCCAACGGCGGCTCCCCCAGCCCAGGACCTACCTGCACGGCTCAACCAAGCCTAGAAGTGGGGGCGGGGAACCTTCCGCCCTCCTCTGTCTCTCATTGGCTCCTCCAGGGCATATCGTAGGCTCCATTGGCTGAGAGCGGATGTCCGTCAGGCTGGCGGGGCGGGACAGAAGGGGGAGAGGGATGCTGGTGCCTCGGCGTCTCTGTCTCTGTGTATCTCGCTGTCTCTGTCTCTGTATGGGCCTTTGGAAATGAGAGGCTTTAGGACGCGAGGATTGGAAGAGGGCCTGAGGTGGGAAAAACAGGAATCCCGGCAGTGCTTCACATCAGTCGACCACTTCGAACCCCCTACCTAAGTCCCTTAGGTCCTCTTCTCCATCACCCAAAACCCCGACCCCTCACCCTTTAGGTTCTTCATCCAGGAAGCGACGCGATAAAAACTCAAGGCCGGAAGGCCATAGGGGGCGATTTTATATATGTATGTAAAATATACACATACAAATATTTATAAAGTCAACCATATATAAGGTCGTGAGGGCCTGAAAAGGAAAGGGCACACATCTCGCAGACAAGGAAGGACTTCAGTTACAAATGATATAAGAAAAAATCAAAAATCACTCTCAGAACTGGTGACAGTGCTTACCTCCTAGGAGGGAATCTGAGTGCTTAGGGAACCAGGTGGGAGGAAGAATCTCACTGCATATTCTTTGTAGTTTTTGATTTCTGTACCATTCTTAAAGGTTCAAATAAAAAAAAAAATAGTCGATTTAAATGTTTAAATAATCTAAGGTCATAAAACCAAGGGACAGACAGTTCTTGAATGTTTGTCCAAGAAAATTAGGACAACATGCAGATTTAGAGAGAAATTTTAATTTTTAATTTATTCAGTTCCAGATTCCAGGGGTAAACCAAGTGTTGTCCCATAGACAACTGGAGTTCTGGAACTTGGGAGAGAGTGGACAATCTGGACTGGAAAAGATATGGGGTACTTTGCCCAAAAACATGGTTGTCTACAACATACTAAAGCATAAACAACTCCCAAGAAGTGTGAAAAGACACCCACAGTAAAAGTCAGGAGGATGAAAAAGAAAAGAAAGACTAATTGAAGCAGCATAAAAGATAAAAAGCAGCAAGTGGTTCTGGCAAAACGGAGTAATAAAGCCCTGAGAACCTCACAGGTCTTGAGGCTCACTTAGGGAACCTTCTTTAGACCCCGGTAACCATGTGACAATAAGAATGAAAGTCAAGAAAATACCCATAAGTCAGAATTTTTTTTTTTTTAAGTACCAGGATCAAACCCAACACTGAACCTTGCCGTTGAAGGCAAACACTGTCACTGAGCTATATTCCCACCCTTTTTAAATTTTATTTTGAGACAGAGTACTGGCTGGCTCTGAACTTGTGATCCTCCTGCCTCAGCCTCTGGATCAGCTGTAATTATAGGTATATGCCACCATGCCCAGCCATAAACCAGAAATCTTAACATTTTCACATCACAGACCTTTTGGTAGTCTGGTGACACATATGGACCCCTTCTCAGAATTTAAAATTCATAACAAACATACATAGGAACCCAAAGGAAACTATCTACATTAAAATACAACTTTCAAAATACTTCTAAAAGTATAGTAACGTGCTTTTTTATTAATATATTAAAATCTATGGGCTGGGGATGTGGCTCAAGCGGTAGCGTGCTCGCCTGGCATGCGTGCGGCTCAGGTTCGATCCTCAGCACCACATACAAACAAAGATATTGTGTCAGCCGAAAACTACAAAATAAATATTAAAATTTAAAAAAAAAATCTAATGACAGGCCAAATTACCACTATAAATTTGATGTCATAAATAAGCATAAATGTTATTTTAAGATATCTGCAATAACTATTATAATATACTGTGAAAATATCTGTGATTCTTATTGATGACAAGATCACAGGTACTGTTAATACTAGTTTGTTGTCTCTATCTGTAATTGAGATAAATACCCATTTTTTTCTTGGACTACAGCATAATTAAAGGCATATTATTGCTGAGCATGGTGGCACATACCTATAATCCCAGCAATTTAGGAGGCTGAGAAAGGAGGATTGCAAGTTCAAAGGCCAGCCTTAGCAATTTAGTAAGAACCTCAACACCTTAGCAGTACCCTGCCTAAAAATAATAAATAAATCTGGGTGCAGTGGCGCGTGCCTGTAATCCCAGCAGCTGGGAGGCTGAGGCAGGAGGATCACAAGTTCAAAGCCAGCCTCAGTAATTTTGAGGCACTAAGCAACTCAGTGAGACTCTGTCTCTAAATAAAATACAAAATAGGGCTGGGAATGTGGCTCAGTGGTTGAGAGCCCCTAAATTCAATCCCCGTACCAAAAACATAAAAAATAAAAAGGGATGGGGATTTAGCTCAGTGATAAAGCACCCCTGGATTCAATCCCTACTAACCAAAACAAATGGGAAAAAAAAAAGACATTATTTTTCCTGTTTCAAATTCATAGATTTCTTAATCTGTGGACCACAGAATAAGAAACCCTACCCAAAGGGAAGCATGGTGACTTGCATTTATGGTATTAGCTATTCAGGAGGCTCAGGTGGAGAATCACTTGAGCCCAGGAGTTTGAGGTCAGCCTGGGCAACATAGTGAAAAACCTGTCTGAAAAAGGAAGAGAAAGGAATCCTACCCTAAAGAAACAATCCTTCCCACCCTTCATACACTCCTTATCTGCCCTTCCTTGTCTCTCTCTTCTTCTTCTTCTTTTTTTTTTTTAATTTTTTATTTATTTTTTAGTTTTCGGCGGACACAACATCTTTGTATGTGGTGCTGAGGATCAAACCCGGGCCACGAGCATGCTACCGCTTGAGCCACATCCCCAGCCCCTCTCTCTTCTTCTTCCCCTTGCTCCAAACACTCTCTTGTTCCTAATCATGCCAGGAGATGGATATCTGACATCCTGTGACACAAAAAACAACAAAATATGAATGGGACTTGAAAGAAACATATTTACATCTTATCTTTGTTCAAAGAAAAGAAAGAGCAGGGGCTGTGGGTGTAGCTGAGTAGTAGAGCACTTATCTAGCTTGCTTAAGACCCTGTATTTGATTCCCAGTGCTGCAGAGATAGGAACAAAGGGTAAAGGGAGGGAAGGAGAATGCTTGAGACTTATTGTAGATCTGAGATGATTGGGAACAGGGGGCCAGGATGGTGTATCACTCATTTGCAAGAAGGAAAACAAATTATAAAAGTTAAACATA